CTTACATCATACATTTATGGACAAAGGTTCCCTCGCAAAATCATGGGCACCCATATCCATGAAGCCGCCATTTCATGAGAAATCGGTCATCGGTAGTGATGTCATACATCAACATTGTTGGACATATGTGGCAATTTCTTTGAGGTGAAGGTCGGTTGAATAAGAGTTAACACTTGTATTATTAATGAATACTTTGTGTATCGTTCACATATGGTTTCATGAAACTAATTTCATTATCATCATTTAGTATTTTAAACCTAAGAAAAACTGACATAATAAATAAATATGATTTAATTATTTCATGAAATGTATATATGCACACGTTTGTAAAGGATATGTCTTGTTCATTGAATTTGTTTATGTTGTGTTATAGACAAGACAATGGCGTATACTCATTGGCCAGGTGCGCGTTTGTCACAAATGTTTTGAGTATGATTGTTTTCGATTATTCTGTGAACAAAACATCACGAAAATATTGTGTCCTTATTTACAGCAAATTCTCGCCAAGTGATCTGAGTTACAATGACTTAGTATTAAGCATACCGGAGTGAGGCCCCATTATCTTTATAAGCGTGTGACCTTTATGTAGCCATTTGACGTCATAGGGGGAAATCCATTTTCAACACATATTGCGAGTCACTTTTAAGATTGAGTGTATAACGTTATACATAAGCACAGAAACTAATTTAATACATACCTATGTCATTCAGGTATCAGGCAGAATTTTGTTCACTCACACTTTCCGTAAATTCTACCATGACTTCAGTAAACACTGGATTGTGATTGGTTAATTAAAGTCATTCAGAGGTATATAATCACGTTATACAGGTCTCTGTTTTCCGTGCGCAATCATACATGGTTTACGGTAATGCACTATTTTTGTCTGCCCACTAACATGGCGGACACCAAACAACCTACCGATGCATCGATAAATTACGGCGATTTTACTGTCGGAAATTACACATTTGTCTTTAAAGATGGATTTAGCGATGACGGGCTCGACTCACTACTTGCGTAAATCACAGCAATAGGTGTTTATACATACAAAAGTACTTCGAAAGCATGGAAACAAATATTCAGTCGAACAAGATCAAAACATCGTCTGCTTTCCGAATAAAAATTCAGCAAAAACAAATATGTTTACGTTGATTCTATGTTATGTCAGAATAGATCCAGCAATAGACTGCTACATAATTTCCGTGTTAAATTTATTATCAGCTTTCGTCAACGATATCGCCACTGATCTTGATCCGGTAACGGAGGATGCATTAACATCGAACGCCGAAGAAATTTTAATGCCTTCCGTCCACATAAATAAACAGTTGGGTTATCAATTCAAACAAAATGATATTTTGAAATTTGTACTGTTTCAAATTTAGAGGTAGTAAAACACAATAACAGAATCTGCAAACCGTTCTGTTTAGCCCAACATATTTTTTTCTAAAAGTATATAATATCGTTGAAAAGTTATTTAGCTTAGTCATGATCCCTCTTATCCATTACATTGCTTGATCTAAAGTAGTCTATTAAAGTATAATTAATTACCTTACCGTGTTTATGCCAGAGGTACACCCTCATGTCCTGATCCATCCTTTCGGAAATATCACCACAAATCTGGCTCTTTGTCAACAGACTCGCGAACATGCCAGCGAATCCGATTCAATTTGAATTCACTACACTTTGAAGCCACTAGGTCACAAAACACTTTCCAAAATGTAGAAAATAATATCCGTAGAATCGAATTTGAGCACAAAGTACACACATGAGTGTGTAAGAGTCACCACAGCTGTCGCACGCAGACGTAGAGGTGCGTGAAATCGTCAAGTTGACAGGGCGCAAAATTCAACAGTATCTAAATTCGGTACAACACGGACTTCTCGTTACAGCAAAAGCGCCCCTACTCTTAAATTTTGTACCAGTACCAGTAATTAGATATCAAAGACTATCTCAGTCATACAATCAGGTTAACCTTGCGCAAACTGTCAGTGGCTCTCCTGTCGCATCTTTCCAAATGTAAACAATGACTTCGAGAAAAGGTCAAGGCCATGAGGTTGCTGCCACTATTCTGGTGGGGAAAGGGTCTACGGTGGAATTTTCAAATGTGAACCAAGCTTTTTAAACTTATTTGATATATGTTTTCCAACTTATCAGTTAATGATTGGTGATTGATGCATTGAAAAAACAAAACGTGATTTGTTATTACTGAATCTGGAGTTTGTTAGTCATTGACGGTTTGCCACCAAACACCCCGTTTCGGGCGATACCACTTGAGATTGGAATGCGAGGCCGCTTCACGTATTGACTCGTAACCAAAGAAAGAGCTCCACCTGAAATTGTTCATAAAATTGTCATGGTAGAATGGAGATAAACCTACTGTGTGGGAAAATCAGAGGTATATAACGAAATTATAATAGCTCTAAATTGTTCATTTAAAACCTCACGCTACGCGTTCGGTTTTAAATGAAATTTAGAGCTATTATAATTTCGTTATATACCTCTGATTTTCCCACACAGTAGGTTTATCTCCCTAATTACTTTAAACAAACAAAACTATCTGCGCATGGGCCAAATGAAACTATTTTGAGTGCCTCCATATCTGAAAATGTTCACTATGTATCCGTCAATAAATCTGCAAAGTTTGTTTTTATCATTAAATGCATATTATTTCGGCTGATCGATCCACTAGATTGGAAAGAAACAACGAAGCTCACTGATACGATCAATTCACAAATACATCATTTAATCAGCAGCAGCAACATCATCTCGTTTGAAACACAACCTGTTGCTAAACACAGGACTAATATACGAATGGGGAAAAAATACTCGGAATATCAATTGATTATTGATAACCAAATATGAGGCTTAGTCAGAACTGCTCACTGTTGACATGTCATTGAAGGCTACTGCGAGAGATAATGGTTGTCATCCCTCGACTATCAGCAAATAGGCAAGAGAACTAGCATCAGCAAACAAATGACCTGAAGGACTGAATGTTCAAAGTTTAGATTTACCATTTAAATATTAAGGCGGGTCAATTTATCCAGATAGCAAGTCAAATTGAGGTATGGATAAGTTCCTGGTTAATGGTAACACACTGAGACTATGAGAAACATGATGTTTTGAGATACTTTTTTCCATGCATGCACTAATGAAAAATGATGCCAAGCATTGAGCCATTTGAACCTTACTGGGTACACCCAGCATGAAAATGGTTACAATATCACTGTAATTTGGTTTAATGGGGAACATTAATCTGCTTAAAAGACGTCACAGCAGTCGTCCATCGTCACACCTGGATCCATCCCTGAACGTGATCCCAACACAAAGTAGGTTTTTTTAGGTACCGGCCATAATTATGTTGTATATTTCAGTATATACTGAACAACGATTATAACAAATTAAAATATATAGTTGTCCTTTTGAGTTCGCTTTAACCATAGTTTACTTCAAGTTCCCCCAAATATAATGATCTGACTGTGCTAATGCTACATCTGATGATATGAGGATTCAACTGTTTATTGTTTTCTTTCAGTATGAGAGTAGACATTTTAGGTGGTATTAAATAATGAAATAGCAGATATACATTTTGATTCATTGTTATGTTACATCACAGGTCAGTGTCATTATGCTGTCCTTGGCCTACCTATATAAAATTGCTTGGGACCGAACTCAATGAGTTGCAGTAGGTTAATGAAACTTGGTATATGTCATCCTCAGGGAGGGGCCAGTTTGGCAGAGGTTGGAAGTGACCGATATGTTACATCAAGGTAACAGTGTAGGTCTATAACTTAAGGTTTTGTGAATGGAGTGGTTACCTTAGTTAACTACTAGAATTGATAATACTGGTAATGTAATGATGGAGATATAGGTGAAGGACTTGCTGTAAGTCTTTTGGATACATTGAAGTCAAATTTGGTTTGTATTCAGGATGGTGCTTTGGAATGTTCTGGAATTGCTTGAAGGTATATGTTGAAACATTATGTTCCTGACAAGTGTTAACTATGATATGATGGAATTTGGTACATATCCTAAAGGTCAGGTATTGAATCAAGCTTTTGTTCAAGCTGTAGAGCATTGGAATGGTTACTTTTATTTTAAAGGTAGTTTTGCATCTTTGTGTTGAGAACCACCTCCCTGTTCTAATGGATAGATCGTCAGTGGTGAAAGTTCAGTGGTTCGATCCCCCTAGCCATGTCTCACCATGAAGACATGAAAAGATGGTACTTGTTGTTACCCTGGTTGGCACTCCTCAACTTTATTGTATATAATAACAATAACTTCAACAAAAAAAGAGATTCATTGAAAAATTTACTAATATTTATTTATTTATATGTATATGGATATTTATATAGCGCTATATATAGTCCATCCCATCTTTATGCATGCTGAAAGCACTGTTTTTTCACCTCAATCATTGAATGTCAATATCAACGGTACATCATATTTTCAATCTCAACTCCCTGAGGATCATTTAACTCGAGCAGCCACTAGGCGCACCAAGTTAAGTTAATGTGGCTTTCCCATCCTTACGAGGTACCCATTCATAGCTGGGTGGACTGGGACAAAGTCACAGTGCTTTGTCCAAGCTTACTGCAGGTTGCTGTACCCGCACCTAGGTGTTTGCACGTATTCATGTGGCCACCATCTGGTCATTAACCAACGGATTTGTGGATTCTTTTAAGTGCACAGGGTTGTGTACTGTGCACTAGGGGTTGTGGCAACACTGAAAGAGTCTGCACACAAACTTGACTCCAAGGATTTTACACAATTTGACACTTTCCTTTTACTTATTTTGAAAGACCAAATCTTCAAATAGTTCAAATATGCACAAAATGTTCTTAAGATTTTCATTTTTATGTAAATGTTCCAATTGTTCAAGCCACATCACATGTCTCTTGATGAAGCTGAATACACTGCAGCATGATTTGTACAACCTGTTTTCCCCATCCCATTTGTATGTCCGGAGGAACTTGCAAATAACAACTGAAACACACACTATAAAAAAAAAGCAGTAACTTTTATAAATGTAATAACAATGCCTTGACAAAATCAAATTGATGGAAATATTTACTGACAATAGATCATTTCATTTTGCTTGTTTCGAGAGACTAAGTCTTCAAATAGTCCAAATAGGCACAAAGTGTTCTTTAGATTTTCACAATTTTGTAAATGTTCAAATTGTTCAAGCCACATCACATGTCCATCTAGTACAGAGTGAACAGTCCCTTGATGAAGCTGAAGACACTGCAGCAGCATGCTGTCTCAAATGACTGTGGCTGACTTGGTTCTTCCAGGTGGCTCACATCAATCAGGACATAGGATTCTGTTTTCACAGGCTGTACTGTAAATGGTGATGTGGGATTTCCCAAGTCTATCTCAGGTATGTCCTGCTCCAAGTTCATGGAGGAAAGTATTGCACATGGTTTTGTGGGATCTCCCAAGTCTATCTCAAGGATGTCCTGCTCCAAGTTCATGGAGGAAAGTATCGCACATGGTTTTGTGGGATCTCCCAAGTCTATCTCAAGGATGTCCTGCTCCAAGTTCATGGAGGAACCAGACAGTGACCGAAGGGCAGGGTTAGGGAGAGGGGTCTGGGTGATGGGTGGGGATACCACAGCAGTTGACAGCTTAGAGGGGAAAGGAAGGCAGTGTAATGAAGACAGAAGATGTGTAAAAAAATAGCTAATTTAATAATCTTTCTTCCCTATTAAAATGGCATAGTGTGTGATTGTTTCGAGAAGGTACATGTCAAAGTTGTCTACTTCTTCTAATCAGTAATCTTGATTTACTGTCTTCTATTAATTATATTTAAATCTAATGAATGGCGACAAAAAACTCCAAATCACAACCGTCTGTTTTATATCATGGGGAGAGGTCAAGAAAATCCCTAGATGACCTACTGGGAGAGGGACAGGATGGTCGGAGGGGCAGGCAGCAATGGTAGGACGCTGAGACTTTCTCAACTCTTCCCGAGCTGCCGAGGGAAATGATGAATAAATCTATGTAAAACGTATTCAAAATTGATGCTAGATAGGGAAATGGATCTAATACCTAACACATAAAATATGAATTATCATTATTTCCAACCTCCGCAAAAGGTTTTCAACCACAGGCCCCCACTGCGGGTCAGAAAATCGATAAACTAGGCCCTGGTTTACTATCCAACCCCTCTATTAAACTAAGCCCTGGTTTACTATCCAGCCCCCTACTATTATATAGTTGGGGGCTGGATAGTAAACCAGGCAAAGGTTTATCGATTTTCTGACCCGCAGTGGGGGCCTGTGTTTTCAACTTTTAAATTCACACTGCCGTGTTCTTTACGTGGAAATAAGTCCACATTATCTTAGATACATGTATTATATATGATTCGCATAAAGATTTGAGGGTCTCATGAAAATCGTGTTTACTCGTTAGCTAACTACGGAGGTTTGTTGATCGAACGCCATTAGGCAGACATGCGGCCAAAGTTAGACTTACTGATAATATACCGAAATCAAAACCAAATTTAACTTAAAAGACCTAAATAATGTACCTTGATGGTAAACACTTGCAACGCTCGTGAACATGATGCAAAGTTGGTCACAAGTGTGAATCAAATCGTAAAATGACAGCAGAGACTTGAATTTTGCAACACAAATGCTAAACAACAATGGCGTCGTTTGCAGAGAACAGTCACCATGGAGATGTTCTCGCGAGATCACAACGGGTGTTTTCAGGAAGTGAACTGGCAACGGGGATGTTGTGCGTGCTGAAAATGAAATTTCACAATTTGCTGTATCGTAAATGTCGCCATTTTTGAAACATTACGAAATCGCGATTCACGGCCTTATTTGGTTATGTTTTGAAATGAAAACATCGGATGATTACTCGAAGTAAGGATACATCAAATCACCGGTACCAATTAATAGTAATTCTGAAACGTCGCCGATAAACCTAGAATCGGTTGGGAAATTCTATACTTTGAAAAATACACAAACACAAACGCCGAAGTGAGCTCTCGGCCATATAACTTGGATAGTGTTTACAAACTCACGTTTCGCGAAGGCCGGTAATGGGACGCCTATTACATACAGTCGGTTTAGAATGAAACAGCAAATGATATGTGCCACCAAAGCCAAGTGTCTAGATCATATAGATGAAATCAAACGAAACATTGGGTGTGAAAACAAACGTCGTGCTCTAAGAAAACATCAGATTTTGCTCTGTGTAGCATTTTCTCAAATTTTCAGACTTCCATACGTCTATTCGTAGCATGCATAGGCTCAATACTTTTGGAATATGCATGGAAATAGTATCGTAGCAAGAAAAAATAAATGAAAAATAAACACAATACAATGATTCCATAAATTGCTAACAAATTGTCAAATTTTCCGCGTAACGTTACTGTGAAGTAGTTGTAATGACAGTATCATGAGCCAGGTCGTGTTGACCTAGATAAGGCTGTCGGAGTGATCTCCCTTGAATGTATGCGCGTCTCTCACTGAATAAACAGTCATCGCCCACGTGAGCCTCTGTCCATCACATGGTGTCAGAAGAAATTAAGGATGGAAAGACTAAACCTCTGGCACTGGATTTGCAAGGCAACCTGGCAGAGAATTGGAGATGTCGACGTTGTCAAACAGCAGTTTGACATTTACAGCGCAGCAAGTGGCCTTGGTGAGAAAGACGAGAAAATTCGAGCGAACACGTTGCATGTGCTCGGACCGGAAGCGCTGTCCAGACATTTACAATACTTTCACGTGGGCTGAAGCAGACAAAGGTAGCAAAGATTTATGAGAAGTTTGAATGCTATTGTAATCCAAGAAAGAATGTTACATATGAAAGACATTTTTTTCAACACCAGAAACCAAGCGCTAGGTGAGAGTATGTGACAGACCTACGAAATAAAGCCAAAACCTGTGAGTATGGGACATTACATGAACAGAACAATAATCCAACCGACTCCTTCGCCTGGATGAAGTCAGCTGGTCTTAAATGTGAAACTGAGGGCTTCCTTTTTGCAGCTCAGGACCAATCACTTTCCACTCTCAATCGGCAAGATGTGATTCTTGAACAAAATGTCAATATGAATTGTTGAATTTGCAATGAATTTACAGAAACTGCCCAACACCTTCTCAGTGGATACCCTTCTTTGGCACAAACAGCATATCTTAAAAGACATGATGGCGTGGCTCGTTGCTTCTACTATCGTTTTCGCCATGCCAGCGGCGTTGACTTCGAGGTCCATCGATGGTACGATGATAAAGCCAAAGAATTTATTTATGTTATTGAATTTTCTGTCCCTTTGCACACCAACTTGATTGGCAAAATTCAGAAATAGCATGCTGAATATGCGGACCTCGCCTTTGAAATGTCTTGCTTGCATCCCAATTACATTGTCGTCAGATTCGCCACTGTTCTTGGTGCCATTAGTTTGGTACCTCCTGATCTCTTGGCGCAGATCAGGAGAGTGTACGGATTCTCCACCGGGAGCACAGCCCTTCTGACTCTCTGCGTAATGCAGAAGGCTCAGTGTTAGGAGCCTTTATATTCTCCGGAAATTTCTTGGTGCGTTCGACTAGGCAGCGTTTCCTGGGACAAGTCCCATTTGTTGTCTGGGCTGCGTGTAGAAGGGGCCGGGGCCCTGAGCTGATGATGAGCCTTACCAGCCTGATCAAGTCAAAACATTGAATACACAAGAGTCTCGTTTCATGTTGACTGGGTCCCGTCCTATTGCGCAACTTAGTACAATAACCAGTCCAGAATTTTGAGACCAGTACATGTAACTGGATACATAATTATTAATCAGAGTGATGTGACACCAGTTTATCTTCAACGCTGACACTATTGATCAATGCATATTCATCCTCTGACGTCACCACCCAGTCAAGAATATGGCCTGATTTGTGAGTAGGGGTCGTAACATGTTGTTTCAAAGAATGAGCCTTCAGCAGAGAAAGTACTTTCCTTACGTCAGACCTAGTTACATTGTCAAAATGAATGTTGCAGTCACCAATAAACAAGGTGTGCCTCCGTGGATATGCTGCAAAAAGCCGAGAAAGGTCTTCATGAAAGTCCAAATGTGAGAGTTTGTTTTTAGATGATGGCGGTGGTCGATAGAGACATACTATCCTAACTGTCGTGTTGAAAGCTGCTATGGTTACGTCTATATGCTCGAATGATACATAGGAATCCTTAGGGTGTACTATGTCGACAACGAGAGATGACCTATAGATGATAGCCACGCCCCCACCTCTGCTTGATCGAGAGACATGTTTCAATGTGAAACCTCCTGGAGTCAGAAATATGTAGATATTATAATCCATAAGGATGAATTGTTGATAACAGTTGAATGTTCAGAATGTTTATATTTGAATAGATTTGATGATTCTAATATGGTGATGTTCTATCACTAATTATGATGGGTGTACTGCAGTCTGTAAACCAATGGGAAAGCGTTACTAGTATCCTTTATCGGGATCAGTTACGCACAACTTACGACTTTTTTTTCAATCGGCTCATGGTTCCCATCTATGCAGACACACTCGCGTATCTTGCTGATCTCTGCCGACTACTCCAGATATTTCCGACATTATACGATCGCTGGCGATTTTTAAAAAAACATTCTGTCAGGAGTTAGTCCCCTTGGGCTGAAGAAAGGGGTGTAAAGATATATGCAAGTCCAAATAGTCCTCATTTAAAAGCACAGGAGTTTTGATGTGACGGCCAGTGTTCATAAAACTGACTCGCCTTTATTTTCAAGACATTTAACCACAATGTGCGAGTCGTTATTTTGAGGGGTTAAAAAATCCCTTTAGTACACTGATAGCCATTCCTTAAGGCTAAAACAGTAGCTAGAAGAAGCAAAGTAGTATTTATCTTCTGCGCATGCCAGTGAATATCCGAGTTATTAGTTATTATTGGTCTTATTGGTTATTATTTAAGTATATGTATTTTGGGCCGGAGGCCTGTTACTGAAATAAAATTCTGTTCTGTTCTGTTCATATTCATAGAAACTCTCCGCACAACTACTATGGCTCGAAGGGTAATTCTAATGCCCATCAAGCCCGATATTTACTTAAACAGTTAACAACACAATTTGTTTGTGAAACGTTGCTTCTCTGTGTTGACCCGTGAAGGTCCGGGTTATTATTGGTCTTCAGTAACCCATGCTTGTCGTAAGAGGCGACTAACGGGATTGGGGAGTCATCCTCGCTGACTTGGTTGACACATGTCATCGTATCCCAATTGCGTAGATCGATGTTCATGCTGTTGATCATTGGATTGTCTGGTCCAGATTGGTTTATGTACAGACCGCCGCCATTTAAAAGGAATATTGCAAAGTGCGGCTTTAAACAACAAACAAAACTTTCTGAGCATGGGCCAAATGAAACTATTTTGAGTGCCTCCATATCTGAAAATGTTCACTATGCATCCGTCAATAAATGTGCAAAGTTTTATGTTTTTATCATTAAATGAACATTATTTCGGCTGATCCGCTCCGCTAGATTGGAAAGAACAAAGGAGGTTCACTGATACGATTAATTAACAAATACATCATTTAATCAGCAGCAGCAACATCATCCCGTTTGAACACAACCTGTTGCTAAACACAAAACTAATATACGAATGGGAAAAAAATACTCGGAATATCAATTGATTATTGATAACCAAATATAAGGCTTAGTCAGAACTGCTCACTGTTGACATGTCATTGAAGGCTACTGCGAGAGATAATGGTTGTCATCCCTCGACTATCAGCAAATTGGCAAGAGAACTAGCATCAGCAAACAAATGATATACATCGAACTGACCTTGTAAGAAATATAGAAATGCCAGCAGTGATCGTCTGGTATACAACTTCGGATTTAATCGTCACACACACACACCTGCAGTCGTGATCCCAACACAAAGTATCGTCCGGCCATAATTATGTTGTATATTTCCATTGCGTATACCATGAACAGCGATTACAACAATTAAAATATACGCCTTTGAGTCGTCGCTTTAACCATAGTTTACTAGTTTACAGGTCCCCAAATATAATGATCTGATCTTCCATCTTGATATGGGGATTCAACTGGAGTATCTTTTAAGGAATAATGAAATAGCAGATTTAATTCCTAAACATACATACCTTTACAGCCCATTTCAATAAGTATGAGAACATCATGTCCTGGTTGTGGTTTAAAGAACATTGTTTCACTTTTGTTGCTTGGATATCATATAATGCAGATCTCAACAGCCCACGGGAAACATTTTGGTTCATTGTTATGTTACATCACAGGTCAAGGCCATTATGCTGTCCATGGCCTACCTATATAAAATTGCTTGGGACCGAACTCAATGAGTTTCAGTAGGTTAATGAAACTTGGTATATGTCATCCTCAGGGAGGGGCCAGTTTGGCAGAGGTTGGAAGTGACCGATATGTTACATCAAGGTAACAGTGTAGGTCATTAACTTAAGGTTTTGTGAATGGAGTGGTTACCTTAGTTAACTACCAGAAATGATAATACTGGTAATGTAATGATGGAGATATAGGTTAAGGACTTGCTGTAAGTCTTTTGGATACATTGAAGTCAAATTTGGTTTGTATTCAGGATGGTGCTTTGGAATGTTCTGGAATTGCTTGAAGGTAATGTTGAAACATTATGTTCCTGACAAGTGTTAACTATGATATGATGGAATTTGGTACATATCCTAAAGGTCAGGTACTGAATCAAGCTTTTGTTCAAGCTGTAGAGCATTGGAATGGTTACTTTTTTTTTAAGGTAGTTTTGCATCTTTGTGTTGAGAACCACCTCCCTGTTCTAATGGATAGATCGTCAGTGGTGGAAGTTCAGTGGTTCGATCCCCCTAGCCATGTCTCACCATGAAGACATGAAAAGATGGTACTTGTTGTTACCCTGGTTGGCACTCCTCAACTTTATTGTATATAATAACAATAACTTCAACAAAAAATCAGATTCATGGAAAAATTTACTAATATTTATTTATTTATATGTATATATATATTTATATAGCGCTATATATAGTCCATCCCATTTTCACCTCGATCATTGAATGTCAATCTCAAGGGTACATCATACTTTCAATCTCAACTCCCTGAGGATCATTTAACTCGAGCAGCCACTAGACGCACCAAGTTAAGTTAATGTGGCTTTCCCATCCTTCCGAGGTACCCATTCATAGCTGGGTGGACTGGGACACAGTCACAGTACTTTGTCCAAGTTCACTGCACGTTGCTGTACCCGCAACATAGCGCCACCTAGGTGTTGAAGGGGTCGCACGCATACGAGTCGAGCTCCGCGAAATCTTGCACTAGCTAACGAAGATAGTGAGCAGCACAGCAACTTGCACACAGCAGCACAGAGCGGTTTAATATCTGGGCCTAGAAGTAAGATATGGGATGTGATAATGTAGCATTTAGAGCCAGAATTGGCTGCTTCCAGTTAGTTTTTATCACATTCATGTCCAAACGTGCGCGACAAGCCGCCAAGCGTGTCCGCGTGCTGCACGTGCCGACAGGAGCACACACCTGTATCAAGCTAAGTTTGCTGCTGTCTCTACTACTGCTCCTGTGCAACGATGTGGAGACAAATCCCGGTCCACCTAAAACACGACAAACGACGATAGAGGGAGAGGTATGTTCATACGAACTATTAAAAGAATTTAAGGAGATGAGGATGGAAATGAATGAAAACTTCATGAAACTAAATAACAAAATTGAACGTCTTGAACAGGAAATGCTATCTATATCTGAGGAGAATTACCAAATGAAATCAACTATCACGTCACTTACTAATAAATTAGAATATTTGGAAAATATCTCGAAGCAAAACAATCTCATTTTCTACAATCTGGAAGAAACATCAGGTGAATCAAACGAGGATACTGAAAAGAAAGTAATTGAACTGTTACATGATATTATGCACATGACTGATATCACAGAGCTTGACCGTGTTACCCCGCCTCCCATCCCGGGCTCTTGGAGCCAGGCCAGTTCTCGTCACCTGCAGGAATCTGAAAGAGAGGAATAGCATCCTCCAGGCAACCAAGCATCTCAAGGGCCACGGCGTGTCTGTATCCCAGGACTTCACACAGAGAGTACGGGCTGTCAGGAAAATCCTGAAAAGTTACATGATGGATGCAAAAAAAGGAAGGTAAATTTGCAACTCTTAAATCAGACAAGCTACAAATTGAAAATAAACTTTATCGTCTTAATGAAACTCAAGACAATATCGTCCTGATCAAAACCTTCAAGCCTAGAACAGGGATTGCAGACCCGAACTCTACCCATTAGGGGTGTGGCCAAGGCCCAGGGGATACCACATGCAAGTGTCTATTCTGGAATATAGAGGGCATCAAAAACAAGTTTGGTAAATCGATATTTACTAGCTGTTGGAAAAATTATGATATCATCTCCTTAGTTGAAACCTGGTCCAATCCCTCTGACGTCTTTTCCTTTCCTGGCTACACTATCTACAACACAACACGACAGAAACAGGAACAAGCATTCAGGAACTCCGGTGGCATTGTAATCATGGTATCGGACACGATTTCAAAGTTTGTTTCCTTCATACCCAGCTGTAGTGAAAACATTTCCTGGCTTCATATAAAGCCTCCTAATCAGGCTCTAACATTATATTTCGGTGTTGTGTATTACTCTCCAGATAATTCTAGCAGATATGCTGATGAGGCAGTGTTTGATATACTTGAGGAAGAAATCAGCAATTTCCGGTCTTCAGATCCACTTTGCAGAGTTATAGTCCAGGGCGATCTCAATGCACGGACAGGCGATGGTTCATACAAAGACTATATCTACAACGATGACCCAACACATCTGCCTATA